CAGTCGGTCCGCAACACACTCTGTATATACCGGCGCCGCTCTTGAAGTCAGGCCTAAACCATATCTCAGTGTTTGAATTGCATTCACCCAAAGATGTCATTCAATTCACTGATACTCCAGACTTGGGTGAATTAAAACACTAAATTTTTAGATAAATGTTTACAATTAAGTCTGTTATAATATAATTGTAATGTAAAGTAATTATAATTATAGTAAATTTTAAAATTTGTTTGAAATCTATATAAAGACAATAAATATAAACATTTTAACCACTATTCTGATATGAATAATGTGGTTTATAGGATCGTTCGGCTGCCCCTCGTTTGTGCAATGAGTTGTTTGTGCAAATGTTTTGACGCAACCCGTGTTCGGACACTCGAGCCATTTCGTTGGCCGAAACGATGTGGTCGTAGTGTTTGTGGCCACTGCTCGGGGCTCTGCGGGCGACTCACGCTTCCTAACCGTCCGTACGCCGGGCGCGAAGTCCCGGTTTAGCTCATTGCTAGCGCCGGTCAGCTTTATATTCACTTCGGGCGCTCTGTTAGGCATTAAAACGCTTATAAATTATGAATACAAATACAATAACAGTTGTGACAATACTTTTTGACAATATTCTAGCCTTATATTCATTTCTAGCCTTATATTCATTTCTAGCCTTATATTACAGGAAATTACTTTAAACTTTCCTATCGTTTGATAAGAAACTAAATCCTATGAAAAGTATTGAACAAAACATTTGAATCCAAAATCCAATGCAAATATAGTATATATTTATAGTATATATTTTATAGTATATATTTAATATACGGAAATCTATGAAAATTCAAATTCCTATCTTTGACTAAAAGTTTAGAGAAACAAACGGTGCAATCGTTTCAGCTATTAATATAAGAAACAAATTATAAAAATTTAATTACAATTCAAACCAAAGATTATGGTTTGCAGACATACTCTATAATAAACATGATTTCAGATAAATAATAATTAAAACTAATATTTAATTAAAGTATATATTGATAAATAATAATATAGATTTTTTATATAATGTTGATTTTATTTTTAGTATAATTTATTTCTAATACTTCAATAAAAAGTAAATTAATATTAATAAGCTTTTTAATTGTTACATAATATAGTATGTACAGTAAGTCTATGCTTTATATCTGGGACTGACTTTAATCCTAATGCCATTCTTGGGTTTCTTAACGATAGCGTTGTATTCAATCAAACTATCTCTCGGTTCGAGTGACTGGAAGTGATAGAGTCGTAAAGTTTTGGCCAAAACTATTTTCAACTCATTTAAAGCAAACTTTTGTCCGATACAATTGCGGACTCCCGCAGAGAAAGGCACAAAACTGAACGCATCCCTACCCTCACCAGCTGCCAGGAACCTCTCCGGATTGAATGTCAACGGATCCGGGTATATATCGGGATCCAAATGCATCACATCAATCATTAGACCTAATGTCACGCCTCGGGGAACGACATACTGTCCTAATTGTATGTCTTGTTTAATGGCCCGCAAAATGACGGGAACGGGTGGTCGCAGTCGTAGGGACTCTTTGATTACTGCCTCTAAATATGGCATTCGTTTGATGTCATCGATAGTTACCATACAATCGGTCGTCAAAACTGAATCCAATTCTTGGTGTAGTTTGCGTTGAATTTCCGGATATAAACCTAAATAAAATTTTTAAATACTTTATAATGACAAACATTATAATATTAAATATAGACAATTTATTTATAACAATTAATGTGACTAACTTATTATAAAATGCTTAATAATGTATTGTAATAATCAAGCAAATAAATTATTTTTAAAACATATCTGTTTTAAATACTTTGATGCGGTAAGTAATGAGTTGTGTGAAGTTTGGGCATTTGGTTCACACAAATAATTTGTTCACACAACTGATGTTTTTAACATTATGCTTATGGGACACAGGTTTAGGTTTGGTTTATCCAAATGCTTAGTTTACACATCTTATGAAATACTGTATAAAAATGTATTCAATAGAAATACCGATAAAATGATAGGTCCAGGAGAGACAGATAGCGGTGGTGTCGTGTCCGGCAAATATAAAAGTGTCCACTTCTTCGCGTATGTCTTCCAGCGATAGTGTGTTGTCTCTCAAGTGATGGTCTAATAATAAGTCCAAAAACGCCAACCGTTTTCTTGTTTTGCTATCTTTCGTCTCTAAATCAGTGTTTCCTTTGTTTTGCATTAAATAGCGTTTCCTTTCGTCGATCACACGTCGGGTCAGTGTTTGCGAGACATTGAGATTGTGTTTGAATTGTTGGCCCATTTTTGTCATCGAAAATATCCACTTTGAATGAAGTAAAGGGTTTATAACCCTATTTACTAGAATCCTTCCCATGTCTTGTACGGCTTGAATGTAATCTAAATTCTCCTTTTGTTGGGCATTAATCTTAAATCCTGTTGACGTCTCTACAGATGTTTAATAAACAAAAATCATTACTTGTTGTCACAAATATACGAACTTTATATAAATTAATGTATTAACAAACCGGTGATAATGTCGAGAGCGGCCGGAAATACGAGGTCACAAATATTGACACTCTCTTTGTCCGCCGATTCCCGCAACCGATCCAACAATATATCAGTTTTTTCATTAAAAATGGGCACAAATTCATCGAGAATTTTGTAATGAAAGGCAGGGGTCAGTAGTTTCCGGCGTTCGCGCCATAAATCGCTGCAATCGTTGATCAGTAATCCCTTTCCCAACCAATCGTATAGTAACTGATATTCATATGGTTTCTCGATATTTACATTACATTTGAGAAAGTCCTTAAAGTTTAATAAATAAGTGCAAACATAATACATAATTAATTATATCAACATATAACAAATTATAAATTTACCTGGGCAAACTTGCTATTAAATATGACAACTGCTGTATTTGGACCAAGTGATGTTTTAAAAATGCCCTCATTTTTGTACAAAACTGTTAATCCTTTCCATAAATAATCGAGAACTTCATAATGTAATGTATAATTAAGTATAAATTAATAAATAAATTATTACAATAATTACTTACTATTTAATTCTGTGTTACAATTGATCAAGAACATATCCAAATTGCCAATAAATGGGTATCGTTGCGGTGGGCCGGGTATTTTGGCCAAGATGTTATTTATACGGCATTTATTACTGTATGATTTTACACAAATCCATAACACATATACAAATGTAATACAAATAAATACAGAAAATTTTATATTATAAAACTCGTGGAAATGCAACTCATCAAGATACATGTTATGGTATTTTAAGTTTAATAATAATAAGAAAATAGCATTCAATTTGAGAATATTTACATAAAATGTCAACTATTTTGTGTAATTGATATTTAATTTTAAATTTCTGTAAACTTTTAATCATATACTGTATTCAAAGTAGTTTTATATTAAAATAATAATAATTAAACGTAAAATTAATAATTAAACGTAAAATAAATAATTAAATACAAGCATATGTTTTATTTTATTTAATATTTAGCTTTTAGTTAACGATAAATACATGTTAAACTTATCATATGTTACTTCAACACAAATTGTATCTAAAATAACACACAACTTATTCAAATAAAAAGTTTATTGAGATTTTTACCAACTATTTTCCCGGAAACATTTATTTACATAATTATTTATAAACATATGCATTTAATTGATTATGCAATAAATTTAAAAAACATGCAAATTATTATATACAGTAAACTACAAATCTTGGTCGCAACCTTGAATACGTTTTGTCTTTAACCATTATCTTAAAAATAAATATTAATGGTATTACAAAATCATCTATTAAACTATTTTTACATTTTTAGATAGGTTGTTTATTTTAAAATATGCAATATAATAAACTTAAGCAAGAATATTAAGAATATTTTTGTCGCAACATTTGTTCGTGTATTAGTTGCGAGTCTTCAGTGATTTTCATAACAGTCATCAACAGAAAGTAATACATAAAACAATTTGTTATAAAATTCACAAATTCATAGGTATTCATAGGAAACAAGTCGTGACAATAGAAACCGATGTCCCGTCCGGTGGGCGACAGGCGTTCAATAAAAGTCTCGATCCGATACCTATCCGTCACTGAATAGGACTTATTGTTTACTTTCACATTACTATTACTTAAAGCCTTAATTTCAGCCAAACTTTTGTAGAATTTTTGTCTACTTTTGTGTGCATTTTTTGCCACCAAAGCGCACAACGAATT